AAACAAAAATATCTGTACCAAATTTAATAAGATGGGTTCCGAATTGGTACTACCAACCAACACCCAATATTGAAGTTTTCAAATAGACCAAGTTTCTAGTATTTAACTGTATCCAAACTCTCCACATTATTAATTAATTAATTAATTACGATACTTACAATTTCCAAAAAATATGTTTTAATTCGAAAAACATGAAAATTTCGAAATGTACGATCATGATTATGGCACTTCGTAGGAGCGCTCATGATGCCCCATTCGTTTATAGTGAACTTTTCAGTGGGAGAGATAGGTTTGTATGGCTTTAGAAAGTTTCACAAACGACTCTAAACATTCATTTGTTAGTTGGCTTTTTACCTAACTCTATCAATTGGCTTTTAAACTTTGACTATTTTCCATAACCAAAGCTTTACTTTTTAAATTGATCAACTGCATTTCTAGAGATCCAATACCAATTCCAAATGGCACAATGGTAAATAAAAGCAAGGAAATGACTGAAAACTAATTGTTTTGTTTTCGTTCTTTCTCGCCCAAAAGAATTTGCTTTATTTTGCTTACGTACAAAACGATTAAATAAAGATGAAAAGTTGTGTATATTGTAGTAACGTTTGCGAATTGTTTTGTTAGTTTTAACAAACACTGCTCGTTAAACGATTCAGAAAGATTTTAAAATATATAAATATTTGTATATAAAATAAGAAAGTGTTTATGAAACTAAAGAGCCACAGCTCCACATCCAAAGAGCCGCATTTGGCTCGCGAGCCGTAGTTTGTCGACCCCTGGACTAGGCTATAGACTAGACTATAGACTAGGCTATAGACTAGACTATAGACTAGACTAGACTAGACTATAGACTAGACTATAGACTAGACTATAGACTAGACTATAGACTAGACTATAGACTAGACTATAGACTAGACTATAGACTAGACTATAGACTAGACTATAGACTAGACTATAGACTAGACTATAGACTAGACTATAGACTAGACTATAGAATAACTATAGACTAGACTATAGACTAGACTATAGACTAGACTATAGACTAGACTATAGACTAGACTATAGACTAGACTATAGACTAGACTATAGACTAGACTATAGACTAGACTATAGACTAGACTATAGACTAGACTATAGACTAGACTATAGACTAGACTATAGACTAGACTATAGACTAGACTATAGACTAGACTATAGACTAGACTATAGACTAGACTATAGACTAGACTATAGACTAGACTATAGACTAGACTATAGACTAGACTATAGACTAGACTATAGACTAGACTATAGACTAGACTATAGACTAGACTATAGACTAGACTATAGACTAGACTAGACTAGACTATAGACTAGACTATAGACTAGACTATAGACTAGACTATAGACTAGACTATAGACTAGACTATAGACTAGACTATAGACTAGACTATAGACTAGACTATAGACTAGACTATAGACTAGACTATAGACTAGACTAGACTAGACTATAGACTAGACTATAGACTAGACTATAGACTAGACTATAGACTAGACTATAGACTAGACTATAGACTAGACTATAGACTAGACTATAGACTAGACTATAGACTAGACTATAGACTAGACTATAGACTAGACTATAGACTAGACTATAGACTAGACTATAGACTAGACTATAGACTAGACTATAGACTAGACTATAGACTAGACTATAGACTAGACTATAGACTAGACTATAGACTAGACTATAGACTAGACTATAGACTAGACTATAGACTAGACTATAGACTAGACTATAGACTAGACTATAGACTAGACTATAGACTAGACTATAGACTAGACTATAGACTAGACTATAGACTAGACTATAGACTAGACTATAGACTAGACTATAGACTAGACTATAGACTAGACTATAGACTAGACTATAGACTAGACTATAGACTAGACTATAGACTAGACTATAGACTAGACTATAGACTAGACTATAGACTAGACTATAGACTAGACTATAGACTAGACTATAGACTAGACTATAGACTAGACTATAGACTAGACTATAGACTAGACTATAGACTAGACTATAGACTAGACTATAGACTAGACTATAGACTAGACTATAGACTAGACTATAGACTAGACTATAGACTAGACTATAGACTAGACTATAGACTAGACTATAGACTAGACTATAGACTAGACTATAGACTAGACTATAGACTGACTATAGACTAGACTATAGACTAGACTATAGACTAGACTATAGACTAGACTATAGGACTAGACTATAGACTAGACTATAGACTAGACCTATAGACTAGACTATAGACTAGACTATAGACTAGACTATAGACTAGACTATAGACTAGACTATAGACTAGACTATAGACTAGACTATAGACTAGACTATAGACTAGACTATAGACTAGACTATAGACTAGACTATAGACTAGACTATAGACTAGACTATAGACTAGACTATAGACTAGACTATAGACTAGACTATAGACTAGACTATAGACTAGACTATAGACTAGACTATAGACTAGACTATAGACTAGACTATAGACTAGACTATAGACTAGACTATAGACTAGATAGACTAGACTATAGACTAGACTATAGACTAGACTATAGACTAGACTATAGACTAAACTATAGACTAGACTATAGACTAGACTATAGACTAGACTATAGACTAGACTATAGACTAGACTATAGATTAGACTATAGACTAGACTATAGACTAGACTATAGATTAGACTATAGACTAGACTATAGACTAGACTATAGACTAGACTATAGACTAGACTATAGACTAGACTATAGACTAGACTATAGACTAGACTATAGATTAGACTATAGACTAGACTATAGACTAGACTATAGATTAGACTATAGATTAGACTATAGACTAGACTATAGACTAGACTATAGACTAGACTATAGACTAGACTATAGACTAGACTATAGACTAGACTATAGACTAGACTATAGACTAGACTATAGACTAGACTATAGACTAGACTATAGACTAGACTATAGACTAGACTATAGACTAGACTATAGACTAGACTATAGACTAGACTATAGATTAGACTATAGACTAGACTATAGACTAGACTATAGACTAGACTATAGATTAGACTATAGACTAGACTATAGACTAGGCTATAGACTAGACTATAGACTACTCTATAGACTAGACTATAGACTAGACTATAGACTAGACTATAGACTAGACTATAGACTAGACTATAGACTAGACTATAGATTAGACTATAGACTAGACTATAGACTAGGCTATAGACTAGACTATAGACTACTCTATAGACTAGACTATAGACTAGACTATAGACTAGACTATAGACTAGACTATAGACTAGACTATAGACTAGACTATAGACTAGACTATAGACTAGACTATAGACTAGACTATAGACTAGACTATAGACTAGACTATAGACTAGACTATAGACTAGACTATAGACTAGACTATAGACTAGACTATAGACTAGACTATAGACTAGACTATAGACTAGACTATAGACTAGACTATAGACTAGACTATAGACTAGACTATAGACTAGACTATAGACTAGACTATAGACTAGACTATAGACTAGACTATAGACTAGACTATAGACTAGACTATAGACTAGACTATAGACTAGACTATAGACTAGACTATAGACTAGACTATAGACTAGACTATAGACTAGACTATAGACTAGACTATAGACTAGACTAGACTATAGACTAGACTATAGACTAGACTATAGACTAGACTATAGACTAGACTAGACTATAGACTAGACTATAGACTAGACTATAGACTAGACTATAGACTAGACTATAGACTAGACTATAGACTAGACTATAGACTAGACTATAGATTAGACTATAGATTAGACTATAGACTAGACTATAGACTAGACTATAGATTAGACTATAGATAGACTAGACTATAGACTAGACTATAGACTAGACTATAGACTAGACTATAGACTAGACTATAGACTAGACTATAGACTAGACTATAGACTAGACTATAGACTAGACTATAGACTAGACTATAGACTAGACTATAGACTAGACTATAGACTAGACTATAGACTAGACTATAGACTAGACTATAGACTAGACGAGACTATAGACTAGACTATAGACTAGACTATAGACTAGACTATAGACTAGACTATAGACTAGACTATAGACTAGACTATAGACTAGACTATAGACTAGACTATAGACTAGACTATAGACTAGACTATAGACTAGACTATAGACTAGACTATAGACTAGACTATAGACTAGACTATAGACTAGACTATAGACAGACTAAGACTAGACTATAACTAGACTATAGACTAACTATAGACTAGACTATAGACTAGACTATAGACTAGACTATAGACTAAACTAAGACTATCGGCAAGTCAGGACCATAGACAAGCCTAATAGTTTGGACTATAGACAAGCATATAGTCCTGGACTATAGACAAGACTATTGTCTGTACTGTAGTCAATACTATAGTCTGGACTATAAACAAGACTATAGTCTGGATTATAAACTATAGTATGGACTGTAGACTAGTCTACAGACAGGTCTATAGTCTAGTCTATAGTCTAGTCTATAGTCTATAGTCTGTAGTATAGGCTATAGTATGGGCTATGGACAAGACTTTTGTCTGGACTATAAATAGGTCTATAATTTGGACTATAGTTAGGTCTATTGTATGGACTATATACAAATCTGTATACTGAACTATAGACAAGTCTATATTGTGGACTATAGGCAAGTCTATATTCTGCACTGTAGTCAAGCCTATAGTCTGTACTATAGATAAGCCTAAAGTCTGGACTAGAGACAAGACTGAAGTCTGGACTAGAGACAAGTCTAAAGTCAGGACTATTTACAAGACTATTATCTGGACTTTTGACAATACTAGACTGGACTATAGACAATAAGTTAATCTTTACTATATATTTAACATAATTCTTTTCTTATATTTAAGGTGATTTACTGGAAAACTACTGTTGGAATGATGATCTAATGAATTTTTCACGTGTACTCTTCTCCATATCAATACTTTTGACTTTTCCTATTGAATGTTTTGTATCACGAGAGGTAGGTGGATTAAAAAAATTCTTTAAATATCAATAATAATTGCAAATATTACTAAAAATTTCATATAGATTGTAAGACACATGGTGCATCGTTTTGTGCTTAAGGAACCCATCAGTGAGTTAACCGATGAAAAAGATCCTAAACAGGAAAAGGGAGCCGAAGTGGATGAGTATTCAAGAAACATTACCTTGGCCATAGTGTTTAGTGCTTTTGTTATATCACCCATGACAGAGTGTTTGGGTTCGGTATTGGAATTAAATGTAAGTTTTTACTTTTATGTTCCTCAAGGAAAATTCTATTAAAAATTTTAAATTACTTGATTTTTCTAAAAAAAAAAATAAAAAGGGTCTTATGGCCGCTATACCTTTGGCTTATATATTGCCCGGTTTGGCCTATATACAAATGGATCCAAATCCCTTATTGAGCCGTGAAAAGTTACCTGCTTTAGGTTTGGTAGTATTTGGTGCTTTAGTTACTATTTTGGGTGCGGTTGTTTTATTGCCCAGCATCGATGAGGACTGTCGAGCCGATATTGTGATGGATTATTGTAAAAGCTCCAATTTACGTGATAATAGTACACTAACAACTTAATTTATTTAAATGTTGCACATACATACATATTTATATACATACAGTAGTGTTTTTTTTCTCTCTCTCTCTCTCTCTATCTCAACCCAAAATCCCTTAAAGACCCCCTTTCGAAATTGTGATTGTTAACGAGTGTTTGTCGCTCGTACACATTGTTCAGCAACTTGTTAAATTTGCAACAGATCGTTATGAGCATCAAACATTTATTTATATTTATAGAAATACATACATACTATATATACAGACATATTTAAATTAATATAAAAAACTATATATTTTATTAAGATGAAAAAAGTTTAAGAAATATTAAAAAAATAATACAAAATGATATTAAATTCCTCTGTAGAAAACAAAAGCCATGATTAAATAAACAAAAAGGTATTAGTTTATAAGTAGAACAAAAACAAATAAAAAAGTTTAAAAATCTACAGTTCTTTTATTTCGAGAATACTTTACACCAGATATTCGATTTTTGAATCTCCCCTACAAAAACTGTAAAATAAGGAGAAGATTGGACCATATTTGATGAAAATTACAAAATTTCCAAATATTTTTGATTTCAGAAGAATCTTAAATCTCTATGAGAAATCTCTATGAATTGATACTGAGTAAAGTATTTTCAAAATAAAACCGAAAATCTAAACATTTGTAGCAACGAAAATAAATATAATTTTATCAAATCAATATTAATTAATCTCTGATTGTAGTCCAAAAAATTAATAACAGCATCGCCCATTTAATTCTATAGTGTCATAACTGTTTTCATATTTTTATAACCGAAAAAAAGAAAGGGGTTATTCCGATCTAACTTTTTCTGTCCACAGTTGAAAGCACCTTAAGGTTCAGACAAAACTAGAATTCTGATGGCTGAAGTTTTTCCACAAATATTCGATAATAAGTTTGGTAATGAAAATAGGCCATTTTGATCCATGATTTTTCCTAGTCATCTCAACTTATTATTATCAAAGGTTGGTTGCTATATTGCTATATTGGGGCACTTGTTTGCAAAAGTACTCTTGTGCTATATTTGACACCAACAAAAATTACATAATGTGCCCTACAGCAAGCGAAACTTTCCAACTCTCGAATAACAAGTTTGGAAAGCAAGTTATCTCAGTAATAGTGATTGTGAATGGCCGCATTGTTCGTGCGATTTAGCTCCTTTAACTAATTTCTAAAGGCTTACATGAAATCACTGATATATGTCAATGTCGTTAGAAGATCTGCAGAACTACATTGGACGAGAAATTCCATGAATTTTGGTATCATGTACAGTTGGTTTCGTGACGTTCTAGTCCCTGCATTCTCAAAAAATATAGAAGATCGTTTCCTCTTTATTCTGGTGTTAAAGGGGGATCCCATGACTACTTGCATTTCTGCCTAGAACCCAGTCGAAGTGCTTTACGTGAACACCTACCGTGTTGGCCTATTTCATGGTGGTCTTTTTAAACCACTGGGTGAGCTTCTGTGACGACTCACCGCCGCCCCATTGTGCTTCTTACACGCAGGTGGTAATTAAAATGGAATTTCCGGTCCAGTAGACGCGCACTTTGCTCAAGTACTTGAGCTATCTAATCTCTGACCATTGCTGCCCCGTTGCTTTACTTCTGAAATGCAAAAATATCACTTTCGTTTACAACCTCGCAGATGGGATGGCCTCGGTTGAGTCGGAAACAGCTCCTAGAGATGTGACCGGTAGAGCGAAGTACTAATCCATCAAATAAGCCGAGACATTGTTCTTACTCACGGTGACACAATGTGGTAATTCTGGTATAAACAGAGTTTACTTCGAATGTACCTGGACAAGGAAGGAAAATTCAATGGTATCACTTGAATAAGATACCTTTTATCCATCACCATTCAACCCTGCACACTTGTAATTTATCCGACATACTCTTAAGAGAACAACATACTACAGACTCACTCTAGGTATACGGGCGGATGAGTTCTGCTTACACCTACATTCATCCTGTATCATATACAATTAACACCAACTCATTTCCAACGCTTAGTCATACAGTCACTCTTCTGTGGGGTATCTGTTAACTTCTTCAATTATAGATTTCACCGTGCATCAGTCTTTTAACCGCCACTAACTCTTCCTGCGAATTTGGGTTTAAACCACAGCCACTACGTTGATCCCAAAGGAACCTCAACCAACTGACCAGACAGAACAAGTCCTGCGGGCAACTGACCACCCGTAGTACCAGATTATGTGGTTCTCTGATTATACCCCATGCCAAACCATTCCAAGGACTAGCCGAGGAGTGAAATAGCATCGCCAGTTTATAGTCTCGGCAGACTATACGTACAGGTAGCACCCCCTTACCCCGGGATTGCAAAGAGGTCCAGTTATTACTGCCATTAACCTTCATAAATCCCTCCTATCCCTCATATGTTGTCCGTTTCATATGTTTTCCTATATTTCCATTAATTTTGAGATCAGATAGAGTCCTAAAAAGTACTACAATTATTCTAATCTTAGTCTGATCGCAGGAAACAGCAGAACTAATATCACGTTATATTTTAAAACCTTCTGTTTAAATATATTATGTTGTTTATATTCATTATGTAAGGTCCCATACACCAATCATTCCTGTTAAGAACTCTGACGACTTTATCAAAGATCGTGAGTGGGGTAATATAGTTGAATGGTTGGGCCGAAGCTCAGGACCGTAGGCTTAAATCTTCATGATTTCCTTTGAGCTTCTTACATGCCGTTAACAACCACGCAGATGGGATGACCACTGTTGATTCGGCAACAGCACGTAGAGACGTAATCGGTAAACCGAAATACATATATATGAATCCATAAAATAAGCCGAAGACTTGTTCTTACTCACACAGAACACACTTTGGCAAATCTGGTATGAATAGAGTAAACCCTGAACATACCTTGACGAGGAAGTAAAATTCAATGGTATCACGTGTATCTTATATCCATCACTATTCAACCCTGCATACTTCTTTATCCGATACAGTCACTTTAGGTATATGGTGTATCGCATCCTTCCCGTATCATATACACTTGACACGAACTCATTTCCAATGAATTATAGACTTCACCATGGATCAGACTTTTAATCAACAATCTCTTCCATCGTTTGGAAGATACGTCTCCAATGACCGAAACTCTGACTTGGGCTTTACATATAACAAAAGTGTGCCAAAATAGGGGATAGATCATGCCGCCTTGTGGTATGCTTCGTTTCACTTGCTTGGGCTTAACACATTCACCAAGATTCGCGATAATTGGATTTCATTGATAATAAGCTAATATACTGTCTATAACACGGGCAATATCATTTGGATCTGTCTCTGTAGTTTGACCTTAAAGGTAGGCGTGTTGACTACTTGAAAGTTGCGATGTGCATTTTAGACCTTGCGTAATATAGTTTTTATAACTTTGAGAATAAACACGCCCTTTTTTCAGTTAGCCGGCACATGGTTAAGGGAGAGACTGAGATCTAAATCTATAAAATGTTTGGCAAAATATCATCATGCGGATCTATGATATTCTATCATGGGAGATGATATCGCCATTGATTCCCAATATAGTGCCACTTTCATAGATGATTTCCGTGACAACATCCTGGCAGCCCGAGAAATGAGTATTCACGGAGCAAAAACGTACATTGCAGAGTAATGGGTTAAAAATGCCGATTTTCACTACTTATTCATTGGAGTTTTAACTCATTATTTTTGCACAGTGATGACATTAGAGGTTCTTACTCTCGCTTACAAATAATTACTTAAAAAAGTACTTACAAATAAAATTTATTTGCTTTCTGTTTATGTAAAAAATTAGTTGCTAGCGCGCGATCAAATAAAATGTGCAAATAAAACTACTTACGTATCTGTTTATATGTAAGTCATTATATGTGTACTTAAAAGTACTGCAGGTGGTATGTAATATTCATTAAAAAGTAAGTAGTTGTGTAAGTACAAGTCATTATCGAATTGCAGATATCAAGTTATGCTGCTGATAATACCACACAAATCTTTTTGTCTAAAAAGTATATTTTTCTGAGTTATGACACTATTGAAGTAAATGAGCAATATTTAATACAAAAACACAAATATTTGTGTAGTATTTAAAAAAAAACTAAATTTTTAGAAACAAATTGACCAAATAACACAATTTAATAAACTTTAAAACCAAGACAACAAACCACAAAACCGAAACAACAAAAATTATTGTACTTTTAATATAAATAAATGTATAAAAGTAAAATTTATAAAAAAAATTGTCTAACTCACAATTGTTGTTGTATGGTTGTATCATAGTATGTTGTAATTTTTTTTTATTATTATTTTGTTTTAAAAATTTTAGTTTGAAAACTTATTATGGCATACATCGATACAACATCGTTTGTGAATTGAACAAATATGTATTACATTTGCTAAAGATCAAAATATTTTAATAAAAATAATTAATAAATAGCTTTTAAAAGCTTTTTGTTCTATAAGTATTATTTACGAAAGATCTGTATATTATCAGCTAATTACCTATAATATATGTATTTAATTTTTATTTCAAGTAAATCCATAACAATTCCAAAAAAATATCAGACATTTTTAATTGTATTTTCGATATTTCTATTTGAAATACAACTTTTTAATAAATTTCTTAAAAATAGTTTGATTTTGAAAATTGTAATTGTCCAATTCACCATCGATATCGTATCGTTGTGGCGTTGTATGTCATAAAATTAATTTTTTTTGTAACAAAAAGAAATCAATAATAAAAAATTACGACATACTACGATACAACCTTACAACACCGACTGTGAATTGGACAAATATTTTTAAGTTCTGTAAAACAATTATAAATTTAGATATTCAATTGGAAACTAGATGAACGGATCTTACATAAGATTGATAAATAATAATTACATAACTAAAAAAAATCCCTACAATATATAAGAAAACAGCAAGAGTAGTAAAAAAGTTCCTAGTATTTAAGTAAAAAAAGTTTTAAAGAATTTAAATTTCTCTAGAGAAAGAAATTTGAATTTTGTAAAATATAGTTTGAATAAGAAATTGAAAGAAAATAAAAGATATTGAAGATTTAGAACTGAAATCAGTGCTGAGAGAGATTTATTAAAGGCATCAACTTTATAGATCATGAATTTTAAATATAAATAATTTTAAAATATTTTTGGAATGAAATTTAAAAAAAAAAAAATATTTCCTTTTTTCAAATCTCAGTTCTAATTCTTTAATAGACACTTTTTGAAATTAAAATTGAAAGCAAATAGTATCAGCAGATATTTACACACAAAACTATTTTTTTTTTAATATTTAGTGGAAAATTTACAAAATTCATAGAAAATATAAATCTAAAATTTAATGGGCACCAAAATCCAACTAACTAACTAGTCTGTATTAAATCATAAAAATTTTCATATATAAATATAAAATCAATAAATAAATTTGCACCGTTTTTTATATATACTATTTATAAATATTTAT